ATCTGCTTGCAGAGAACCGGATGTTTACCCAAGCCTTAAATTCCTTAAAATAGATGGTTAACCGTTTGATTTTCCTTACTTTGCATGACTTCTACAGTATTTAATCTGGTCTTCATGGGAATTGTGTAATCATTACTTGCCTTAACTTGCTGTTAAGGCAAGTTTTATTTTATGGACCTGCTTCTGTTTGTGATGCCATGATAACATCAAAGATTATAAATGCTGACACAAACTTCCTAAAGCTAACCCATTTTATATTATTTGTTTAAATGTATCTTGTACTGATCTGAGTGCCCAAGGTAAATCACAGTAATTCTTTGTATTAAAGAATATTTATTTCTTTATGTCTTTGTATTAAAAATATTTATTTCTCCCAAACTGTACAAGCTCCCAGTTGATTATTGTAAGTGATGAAGCTAGTTCTTAGTCTAAATAGAAGTGTATTTTTAAAAATGTGTATACTATTGATGAATAACAATTCACATTTGGTATTCATACTTTAGACCTATTGTGCTACCTACCCTATCTAACATTTTGAAATAAAATATGTTTAACTAAAAATAATGGAAGTTGGCAACTTGATGTACTTTATTTAAAGGACTAGCTGCAGTTTAGAGAACTGCATTTATTCCCATGCATTTATAATAAAGAAACTTAGCTGGGGGTAAAACCCAGTTTTAGAAGTGGAATCATATTGCCAAGGAAGAAAAGCATCAGGAAACTAGCAGGATGGTGCTATGTAACCTGATGAGAGACAGCATCTTCACTAGTTTGCTGGTATTTTGTAAATGGCAGCATTGACTTAGGAGCCATTTTAATGGGCAATACATCCACAGTAATTGTTTTGTAAAAATTCTCACCACATTTATCCTTATCGACCCTGTATCCCTGCACCAGGGATACAGGGTCGGACGTGTGGGAGGGGGCGGGAGCTTGATCCAAGGAGGGTAGTTCAATCAGTACTGTAGGTGGGAGGGGCAGATATGGGGGTGGCAGGGGGCCATATCATGTTCCGGGAGTGCGCACTTGCTACCTTCGAGCGATTGCGCGCTCCGGTCCCCAATGCCTTTCTCGTTTCCCAGGTGGCTCAGATCCTCAGGCCCTGGACCTCCGGCTGATGTTATGTAACGCCAGGTCTGTGGTAAATAAAGCCCCCCTCATTTTTGATCTTATTCAGGAAGATCTTATTCAGAAATTTCCAGGCATTCCATCAGCCGAGGGCCCAGGGGAGGGGCAGGGGGATGGCGGTTGTTATTAATGAAGATCTATGTCCGAGGGAGACCACTATTCCTCAGATAGCTGGATGTGAGTCCCTCCTTGTGAAGTGGGGCCGTGGGGTGCAGGTGGGTCTGCTGATCGTGTACCTGTCTCCCTGCTACATGGCAGCGGCCCTGCCCGAGCTGCCTGATGTGATAGCCGAGGTGGTGGTTGGTACTCCCAGGCTGATGGTCGTGGGGGATTTCAACCTGACATCGGTCAGTGACACATCAATGGCAGCCTGGGAGTTCATGGCTTCCATGACGGCCTTGGACCTGACCCAGTTAGTTTGAGGCCCTATTCACACGGGGGGACACACTCTGGATCTGATTTTTGTCTCTGGTCAGTGGCAGAATGATCTAGAAATAGGGGATTTAGTTATGCAGCCCTTTTCATGGTCTGACCATTCACTCCTTCAAATGGATCTTCGCACCTCTACCCCTCGCCGCAGGGAGACGGAACCGGTCAGATGGTTCCGTCCCAGGCCCTTGATGGATCTGGAGAGGTTCTGGACGGAGCGTGGTCCACTTCCTGAGGCTCTGGCCCACGACTCAACTGAAGAACTAGTGGCTGTCTGGCATAGGGCGGCCACTAGGGCTTTGGACGGCGTCATGCCTTTGTGGCCTCTGACTCGGCGCCGATCTCAATTGGCTCCTTGGTTCTCCGAGGAGCTGAGAGAGATGAAGCGCCAGAAAAGATGCCTGGAGAGCGGTTGGAGGGCCAGCCATTCCGAATCTGACCGAACACTGGTGAGGTCTCATATTAAGACCTACCTAGTGGCGATCAAAGCGGCAAAATTTAATTATTTTTCCGCTCTGATTAGGTCTGCAGATAACCACTCAGACACCCTGTTTAGGGTGACCTGCTCCCTTCTCCATGCAGGAGCGCGGGAAGACCCCTTGCAGGGCAGGGCTGAGGACTTTGTGCAATATCTGCACGACAAAATCACTCAGATTCGAGAGGGCTTGGACTCCGACTGGATGGGTTCAGATGGGATGACGGAGGCAGGTCTTGAGAATGTTAGCTGGGAGGAGTTTGATCTTGTGACTCCGGAGGACGTGGACAGGGTCCTGGGTAGGCTGAATGCGACCAATGTTTGCTGGATCCGTGTCCCTCCTGGTTGGTGCTGGCTTCCCGGGAGGTTACATGAAGCTGGCTTCAGGGGATTATTAACGCTTCTTTGAGTGAGGGTTTCTTTCCCACTGCTTTGAAAGAGGCGGTGGTGAGGTCCCTCCTCAAGAAGCCTTCCCTGGACCCGGCTGTTTTATCAAATTATTGCCTTATCTCCAACCTTCGTTTTGTGGCGAAGGTTGTTGAGAGTGTGGTAGCACGACAGCTTCCTCAGCACCTGGATGAAGCGAATTAACGGAATCCGTTCCAGTCGGGTATAGCACGGAAACAGCATTGGTCGCATTGGTCGATGATCTCTGGAGGGCTCGGGACAGGGGCTGTTCCTCTGTCCTGGTCCTGTTAGATTTCTCAGCAGCTTTTGATACCATCGACCATGGTATCATGCTGCGCTGGCTGGAGGGGTTAGGAGTGGGGGGCACCGTTATGCGGTGGTTCACCTCCTTCCTCTCCGGCCATACGCAGTCTGTGTTAGCAGGGCGGCAGAGGTCGACCGCCAAGGCGCCTAGTCTGTGGGGTGACACAGGGGTCGGTCCTCTCGCCCCTCCTGTTCAACATTTATGTGAAGCCACTGTGCGAGATCATCCATGGCTTCGGGGTGGATTTCCATCAGTATGCTGATGACACTCAGCTGTACATTTCCACCCCGGGCCACCTCAATGATGCCCTTGAAGTGATGTCCCGGTGCCTGGAAGCCGTATGGATCTGGATGGGGAGGAACAAGCTCAGACTTAACCCTTCCAAGACCGAGTGGCTGTGGTTTCCGGCGTCCCATGATAGTCAGTTGACTCCATCACTGACTATTGGGGGTGAGATCTTGACCCCCTCAGAGAGGGCTCGCAACTTGGGTGTCCTCCTGGACTCGCAGCTGTCCTTGGAAGATCATCTGACGGCTGTGGCCAGGGGGGCTTTCTATCAGGTTCGCCTGATTTACCAGTTGCGTCCCTTTCTGGATCGGGACTCCTTACACACCGTCACTCACACCCTCGTCACTTCCCGTCTGGACTATTGTAACGCTCTCTACATGGGGCTCCTCTTGAAGAGCACCTGGAGGCTCCAACTGGTCCAGAATGCGGCCGTGCGGGTAATTATGGGAGCGACCCAACGCTCCCATGTAATACCGCTCCTGTGCAAGCTGCACTGGCTCCCGGTGGTCTTCCGGGTATGATTCAAGGTGTTGGTTGCCACCTTTAAAGCGCTCCATGGCATGGGCCCTGGGTATCTACGAGACTGCCTTCTGCCACCGATAGCCTCCCATCGACCGGTACGGTCCCACAGAGAGGGGCTCCTCCGGGTGCCGTCAGCTAGACAATGCTGGCGACCCCCAGGGGGAGAGCATTCTCTGTGGGGGCCCCTACCCTCTGGAATGAGCTGCCCCTGGAGATTCGTAGGATTACCGACCTGCATACCTTTCGCCGTGCCCTAAAAACATTACTATTCCAACAAGCAGGGCTGGCCTAAATAATAATAATATTTTTGCTTTTTTAATGGGTTTTATTAGAATTTTTGGCCAATTGATTTAATTGTTTTAACTTGTTTTTAATTTTTCTATTGTCATGGTTTTATTTCTGGTTTTATTTCTGGCCCTGAGTCCTTCGAGAGAAGGGCAGTATAGAAATTCAATAAAATAAATAAATTTATAATCTGAAATTTTGCCTACTGGCCTGTAAGAATGAGCATGCTTGTGAGATGCAAAATATATATCTTTTTTTTTTAATGGTAAGATGCATAGACCAACCCCTTTGTCATTTAAAGTCTAAAAGTTATTTTTCTCAAAATTATCAGATTAGATTTCTTTCCGGATAGTAGCAAGTGCTATAGTAGACTGTAATTGGAGTAATAATGATGCAGCAAATCCTGTTTCCCAGGGTTCTGTTATCCTTCAACTGGGAAAGATAGCTTTGCAATGGCACCAAGTGATGATCAGTCAAACTAAGGACTATATATATTTAAACTGTACCTGAACGAAGATGGGACAGGCTACTGCTATTAGTCAAGCTGATTTTGCAGACATTGTTTAAGGCTTATCTGCAGTGTCTGGCCAGCCTATTACCAGAATATGTAGGCAACTATTTTTCCATGGTACAGTAGTAATGGATGAAGTCACCTATTAACCCCCTAGTCACCTTCAAAACAACTTCTGAGCAGTTTTTTCCTCCATTTCTAAAATCTGTTTTCCCTAATATGTTGTCTTGAGAGTTTCTGCTTGTTAAGGGCTAGGACACTTATTGACTACAGGCTACATTCAGGAGTACATTGACTGATTTGAGGAGTACTATATTACTCCTTCAACTAATCCAATGCTTATCATACATTCAAAGAGGCTAAATATCATCACTTATTATCAGGCTGCTATAATAGCACAGTGATTAAAATTTGCACTTAGCATAGGTTGGTAGTTCCCCTCCCTTCCCCTCCCGCTTCTTTTCTTTCTTTTAATGTTAAGGATTTTACCATTTCCCAAGTCACCTGAAGTGGGAGGGTTTTACCCAGAGTTCACAGAAAGTGCATAGTTGTGTTTGGGATATTTGGGAGCTGGAATGAAATTTTTCTATGTGAGACTATTGAAAAAGGTAAAATAATAAAATTCAAGAATTATTTTTTTAAAACAGAATGGGGGAAAACTACCTACTTGAGCGAAGAAAAGCTATCATTAAGGAAAGAAGAAATTCCCACTGGATTTCAAACCAGCAAACTTTTGCATGCTAACCAAAGATCTTAACTGCTCTGTTATTCCTGCATCATTGGTAAATGAAGGTATAGAAATATTAGTGTGCATGCTGGAAATAGTTTTTTAAGATGCATGTTATTACTGCATTTCAATGCTTTATATATGTAAAAATTCAGCTTAACTTTGTGTGTGTGTGTGTAAATAAAAAATATATGTCCAAAAAGGAAAATCATTGATTCTAAGGAAAGGAAATTTGGGAACAGAGCAGGGCAATGTATTTCAATTTAGATGGTTTTTCTCCTGGCATGTGACTCTGGATAATTAACAGAGGGTTAAAAGCAGCAAACAAACAAAACGCAGCAGAAATCATGAAAACACATAGACATAGACAGCCCACATTAAAGCCATTGAAAATGAGCTCACATAACATCGTTGTCCAGTACTTGAGAGAAGAATCAGATCTTCAGACCTTTTTAGAAACCAGGCAGTGGAAATGTCATCCATAGAGCAGCTGTGCAAATATTCAATGGCAGGAAAATGATAATCTACATTCTAAACTGAATACCTTTTAAACTGTTGCCAGAGTATTTTAGCCTGGACCAGATTAATTTGGTTTGGAATCAAACTGACAGGCATGGCATGGTGGGCATGGCTTGGTGGGCGTTGCAGGGGAAGGATACTGCCAAATCTCCATTACCATCCTACTCCCGGGGGAAGGATATTGCAAAATCTCCATTCCCTCCCCACTCTGAGGCCAGCCAGAGGTGATATTTGCTGGTTCTCCAAACTACTCAAAATTTCCACTACTGGTTCTCCGAACTGCTCAAAATTTCCGCTACTGCTTTTCCAGAATTTGTCAGAACCTGCTGGATTTCAACCCTGATTTGGCCATTTGGGGGAACAGAGCTAATTGACCTATTTACTGTGTAATCCAATGCATGTTTATCAGATTTTTCCTTTTTTGATGGGATTTATTCCTAGAATAAATCGTTGTGTTTCCAGCTAAACTTTTCAGTGCTAGATCTTTTTCTGAATGCAAAATATTGCCCTTTTTAGATTGAACTTCATAACAGATTGAAACTCATCAAGCTGAATGCAACTATGTCTAAGCCATCTGTCACAGATGTATTAAATGTCTTATCTTGATGCCTCCTGAAACTGCCAAGAAGGAGTTGGAAATTGAAATATCTGGTGAATGTCAATGTATTAACTGAACAGTGTTTGGCTAGATGAGCCTACAAAGAAAAGGGTATCTTATATGAAACAGGATTAAATTTGGAGTTGAGATAAGAGCCGCTGAATGATTAGTATTTCTCTGTTAAATAAAACTTCCCTCAAGTCAAGTTTGACGCCTCGTGACTAACTGGAGACACCAGTGTGGTTTTCTTGACAATAATAAGGAAGTGGGTTGTCATTGCTCATTTTCAAGATGTACTTTTGTTTTTTCCAAAGTAGCCTACGCTCCAGGATTCCCTGGTAGTTTTCCATCCAAAAACCAACCAAATTCAGCGCTGTTTTGCTTTTCAGTATCAGCTGAATTCTACTTGATGCTGTTACTTGCTCCTGGATTGATATTTCATCCATGTCGGCATGCATGCTATGCATACATAAGGCCTAACAGATCACATGATGTATTGTTTTTAATTTACTGTTTGGGGAGACAGTTTATCCACAGTTGAGCACTCCAGCATAAATATGTTAACACCAAATTTATATGTTTAGGGGCTGAGTGTTGGCACAGAGCTTCTGAAATTTAGCTGTGGGTCAGATTAAACTTCATATGTAGGAGCCAAATAAAACTGAGGCCTTGCCCATCACTTTACAGCATTTTCTAATCTCGTACGTAATTTTCAGGAAATTATAAATGAGGGTTCCAGCGTCTCTGGGAATATTTGGCATCAAACATTGTATAAATATGCATGACAACAGAAAAACCAAAACCGCCTGCTCTTATTTACAGACTCTGTCTTTGCATAATCCATTACTTCCCAAAGATGAGTTGCCTGACACCTTCAGGACAAACCTTTAGAGACAAAGGCTGGGAATGCTTTCAGTAAAATTGCAATTGCTTAGCTTTGTATCGCACATATGTCTAAGGTGCAATATTTAATTTGCTAGCAGAACTTTGAGTTTTTAAATCCTGCTGCTTCTTTGATTGATCTACAGAGAATGGAAGAAACAGCATAGGACAACTTTCTTCTAGGAAAAAGAACCCATTAAGATTAGTGACCATTTAATCCAGCTCTCTGATTTCAGTAGTAGTTAGCCAGATGTCACTGCAGAGTACAAGGCCCACAAACACACTCTTGCAAAAATTCATTCCTGATTATTCCCTAATAGCCAGTATTTGGAGGTAGGCTGTCAGCCTTGGAGGCCATCTTTTTCTTTGGATCTTCAGGGCTGCCACACTTTGGGCTGTGGGAAAGTGGAAGGGGGGGTTGCATGGTAGAGTTATTTAGCCATAACAACATTCTTTTCTCTGAGAGTCAAGGACTATGAGCCTGCACCTGGAGAGGTGTGACTGGGAGACATCTCCAGTTGGGACAGTGGATTGATTGTACCATGTGATGGACATGTGGGTGCAGGGGAAGGGACTTGGACTTTCCTTTGGGTGGAGAAAACCCGGGAATTTTCAGATTCGGGTTTTCCCAGATGTGCCAATATGACATCTCTAATAAAATGGATCTTTAAGGAACTGCCAGCCTCGGAGTCTTACTTGGTTGGGGGTGTTACTTGGAACCCTGACATAGGCTTCCTCCAAATATGGACATTCCTTTTTATGCAACCATAGCTAATATCAACTTCTAGTCCACAAACTTGTGTAGTTTTATATAGCTTGTGGCTGTTACCACATTTTAAGGGAGCAAATTCAAACACTGTTAATTGTATGTTGTGTAAAAAAAGGACTTTCTTTTGTCTGTCTTGAATCAACCACCCATCAATTTTGCTGAGTGAATGTGCACTCTAGTGTTTTGAGAGAGAGAGAGATGTCTACTCAACATCCTGTTTTTAGTTATTGTTCTCTTAATGTCATAGAGCAGGGCTGTCAAACTCAATTTCATTGGGGGCCACATCAGGGCTGTGGTTGACCTCAGGGGGCCAGGCGGGTGTGGCCAACTCAGTGGGCGTGGCCAGCTTGACACCACTCACTGGGCATGGCCAACTGGATGGGTGTGACCAGCTTAATGCTACTCCCCAAACTGCTGACATGTTTCCTCTTCACCTTGGGTAGACCGGGCCGAAGCCATGCTGGCCTGATGTTTCCTCTTTGCATTGGGTAGACCAGGCCGAAGCCATGCTGGCTGTCCCCTTATATTTTCCAGGACAGCCCCGTGGGCCAGATCTGACATTATCAGCCTGCGAATCTTGAGTTTGACACCCCTGTCATAGAATATACATTAGGAATCAAAGAATATTCTAGTCTTTTATTGATTGATGTATTTATTGTGACATAAAGTTTTATATCATGTTCATCAGATGTAGTTAATATTATCTTGAGATAGTTGCACTTAGATTAAACATTGGTTAGGAAAATGGATCAATTGCATATGTTGAAATAAAAAGGAAATTAAATGTTAAAAATTAGAATTATTACTTGATGCATTACAAAATGGGGTGCCTTCAAGTCAGTGTGGATTCTTGAACAATTTGATGTAGTTTTCTTGGTAAGATTTCAGAAGTGGTTTGCCATTGTCTGCTTCCTAGGGCTGAGAGAGTATGACTGGCCTAAAGTCACCCAGTTGGCTTTGTGCTTAAGGCAGGGCTAGAACTCACAGTCAGAGGGGTCTTTGGGAGTAGAAATTAAAATGTTTTTCTAGATGAGCTATGAAGATGTTGGCATGTTGTGGAGCCATGCAGTGTCCCATGGCTGTACCACTAATTTATAAATATATGTTGTGCCAAAATTAAAAAATTATCACTGGGCACAAAAGGAACTGCTGTACTGGATGGTTAAAAGAAAAGCCTTTGTCTTTGCACAAATCACAGATAAGAGCTGAACATTTTGATATATTGTACTCCCTTCTTTGATGTGGAAATATGCTCTTGATGTCTTACTTAAGTCAGAAATTACTTAGCAACAGAAATTTTAGGCTCAATTATAATCATAAATCAAGGACCACGATTTTGACATTGGAAGATGAGCCAGTATACACGCCTGATATTCTTGGTGAAATTACTGATTAGATCCTATATTAACATTGCCAGAGTACATACAGAAAGGCATTGGCATCTGGCTCTGATTCTGAGTTTGGATGTATGACTATGTCTAGGTTCACAGAATCTGCTAAATTACAAACAAACCACATGAATGGTTACTTGTCTGAATCCAGACATTGTCGTTTATTCAGTAACTTGGTTAATGGAAGGTTTAATGGAAAGTTACCATATGATTCCCTGTGGCATAGCATTGCTAGTAATATTTTAGGCTTCAGAGAGGAAAAGGTAATTGACAAGACAGCAGATGTCTGTTTCCATCCTCAGAAGACTTAACTCCATAGATTGGAGTCATACCCAAATGTCTTGCAATCTCAAAAAAAGAATGAGTTATGTTCAGGACATAATCCTTTTTTCCCTCCTCTTATTGATATGCGTGCTCTTAAATATATGACCAAAATGAGATATGTTTGAGCTATAGTATTCCTAAGTGTGTACATTTGGAGGGGAGAATGGAGAATTGGACATTTGTGATTAAATTCAGCTATTGGATCAAATTTTAGCTATTAAGCCTCAAGGCAGAAGTGATAGTGGTTCTCTTCTCTTCCAGAGCTAAAGAAACAGACATTGGTGCCATCTGGGCGAGTGATAACATTCATGCTGTCAGGGTCTTAACAGCACTTCTGCAGAGGACTTTTAAGTGTTTCTGGAGAGCAGGAGCTGTACAAAAATGCACGCAATGTTAATATTACTGCCATCTTATGTGTTATTAATTTCATTACGATATTGACCTTAGCATTTTTACAGTACAAGTTTTGACTATTGAAGCTCCAACTTTCAGGTCCTAGCAGGTAATAACTGGTAATCTGGCTGAGTTTATCTGAGCTTGGGAACTAAGCAAGGTTGGGTGTGGTTATTCATTGGATGGGAGATGATAAGATCTTGAAGGGATTGAGCAACTGAATAACAAGCTAGACTAGCAAATCAGAAAATGTTTTGGAAGGTGAGAGCAAACTATTTATTTGGCCTGTTGTCACCAAAAAAACCCTGCCTTGCTTTCCTGCCTTTTGGCAGTTTGTAGAGTGTTTTTCCCCCCCAGCATGTGTGGGATAGGTTTAGAGGTATTGAATATTCACTATGATGCACTAATGGTAATTCAGGTCAGAACAAACTTTTTCTGCTACTGGTTTGAGGAGGGCTGCAAGGTCTGATCCAGGAAGTATGGTATAGAGAAAGCAAAGGTGTACTGCATCCTGTAGCTATCAGAGGAAGAGTTGAAGAGATGCCTTGGAGGTTTTGTGGCTGTAGCAGAAACTTTCTACTGCACCCGAGAAAACAAGCAAGGCGCGCAGCAGGCGAACCGCAGCTGATCGGTTCCCGAAGAGTAGCGGCTGGTTGGCAGTCCCCCAGCCTCCTTTGGCTAACTGAACATTATGCAATAACAGCCCCTCCTTCTTGACTTTGATCGGGTGAAAAACAAAGAGAAAGAAACATACCATTCTTCTCCCTCACCCTCCCAGTCGCCCGCAGAAGTGACAGCTGCACGGCTGGAGCAGGTCCGCCGGTCTGTCCCAGGCGCCTTAGGGGAAGAAAAAAGGGAGGAGGAGGGTTTCTTTCGTGCGCTCTCGGGACTCCTCCGTAAGCCGCCTATAGGCAAAAGAGTTTGGCTTCGGAAAGAGAAGGGAGGAGGTCGTGCAGGGGTCGTGGGGGAGAAGAGGTACCGCCCTGCGCAGGTCTAGATCCCATCTGGGATCCGTGGCATCCGTCGGAGGAGAGACGGCTCCGGCCAAACAGGGCGATGGTGAGCAAGCATGAACGTGGCCCGGGAGGTTTCTAACCGCGTGGTACCCAGGCGCCCGGCAGCTGCACGACAGAGACGCCTGTAGGGGCGGAGCGGGCTTTGGACGGCACCGATCTGAGCCGTAGCGGAGGCCGGCAGGATGTGCACTCCGCCGCTCCCATCTGGGGCTGAACAGGAGGAAGAGGAAGGAGATCCGCAGACAGGTCACAAAGGCTTGAATGGGAGGGCGGAGGTGCGGCTAATTTGGCTCTTTAATTCAGATGCGTTATCTCCGTTGCGTGGCAGCTGCCGAAGGGCGATCGGACTCTTAATTCTAACCACGCATGCCGACTGACAAAGTGGGAATCTGTATTCGAAATGCTTACGTCGGGAAACAGATTGTTTCGA